TTCCAGCAGTGGCATTGACTACCCTTTCCAGAGCCTTAAAGGTATGGCTACAGCATTTGGAGGAAGATATAGTAGCGGGGGTTCGCAGGGAGCATTTGATTGAAAGTCTGAAAGATTTCCACTTGGCTTCAGAATTTTGCTCAGAGGCCTCTTTCGATGTTACCAAGATGGTGGCTAAGAGCATGGCTCTGACGGTAGCATCCAGAAGGGCTTTGTGGCTACATGCTTGGGGTGCGGACTATGCATCAAAAGCATCTTTGTGTGCTCTTCCCTTTCAAGGAGATCTACTATTCTGCAAAGTTCTGGAGGAGGCTATTCAAAAGGCAGCTGATGGTAGAAGAGCCTTTCTTCCACAGGACAAAAGGCATCCCTTATCCAGTATGTGGAAGAATAAAAAATGTAAGGATCGTTCCTTTCGTGACTCCAGAACATATCATCCAGGCAGAGAGTACACAAGATACTCCAATTGGAGAGCAATTCGGCCATCTTCTTCTTCTTCCTCAAAGTTCTCCAGAGGTAGAGGTACCAGACCTTCTAATAAGGGATTCTGAAGGTGCACAGGTCCAGCCAGGGATAGGAGGTTGTCTCCTAAAGTTCTTCCCCGTCTGGATCAAAAACGTCTCTGATTCATGGGTTCTCTCAATTATAAAAGAAGGATACCTCATAGAGTTTTCACGTATCCCACCTCCTACCTTCAAGCAATCTCACATTGCAAGTGGGATAAAAGAAGTAGCTATGAAGGCATGTATCAAGGAACTAATCCTACAACAGGTTATTGTGGAGGTTCCGAAGGTAGAAAAGTTCAAAGGCCACTATTCTACCGTGTTTCTGGCCCCAAAGCCTTTAGGCAAGTGGAGACTGATTCTGGACCTAAAGGTCTTAAACTCCTACCTACAGACCAAGTCATTCAGGATGGAGTCCATTTCCAGTATTGTCTTCAACATAAAGAAGGGAAGTTGGATGACATCCATAGACCTCAAGGACGCATATTATCAGATTCCCATTCACCCATCGCATGTAAAGTTTCTGCGTTTTTACATATGGGGGAAGCATTACCAATTCAGGGGACTTCCCTTTGGGCTCAGTCTAGCTCCAAGGACGTTCTAGAAGGTACCCTGATTGCTTTTCTGAGGTTGCAGAGAATAGAGATTTCCATTACCTCGACGATATTCTTATCGTGGGTTCCTTGGCCCAGGAGGTGTTACTTCATACTCACACTGCAATACACTGTCTACAGGCTCACAGATGGATGCTGAACTTAGGGAAGAGCTCTTTGATCCCATCCCAAAAGATTATTTTCCTGGGGGCAAAGATAGATACTGCTAACTCTCTCTCTTTCGCCAGAAAGAATGACAAAGATTTGTGAGAAGATTACGGATATACAAGATCGTCAGTCCCTTTCTGCCAGAAACTATATGAGCCTATTGAGGTCCCTGACGTCCACGATAGGACTGGTAAGATGGGCCCATTGGGAAATTCGACCTATCCAGATGGGGTTTCTGCGGCAGTTCAGCAAGCACAAACTGAACTGGGATCAAGAAATTGTTCTTATGAAGTATGCAAAGGATCAGCCGAAGTGGTGGAGGAACAAGAAGAATCTGAGTCGGGGTTTTCCGTTGGAGGAACCGAACTGGTTAGTAGTTACAACAGACGCAAGCTTACAAGGATGGGGAGCTCATCTGGGATCTCTTTGGAAGCAGGAAAAGTGGTCCAACACAGAGAGAAAAATGCATTCAAACTTAAAGGAGTTGAGAGCTATTCTCAAGGCCCTTCAAGGGTTTCTTCCCTTAATACAAGATGCTTGGATTACGATTCAGACAGACAACAGGGCAGTGGCGTCATACATGAACCACCAAGGTGGTACTCGGAGCAAACTCCTGTTGAAGGAACTGACTCCTCTTATGTCTCTGGCACAGAATCATCTTCAGGGATTAAAGGCAGTATCTCTACCAGGTCCTCAAACTATTTTGGCAGATTACCTGAGCAGATCGAGCATTCTACTAGGAGAATGGAAGCTACACACAGAAGTATTCCAAGCAATTACCCTTCGGTGGGGCATACCCCAGATCGAGTTAATGGCGATGGACAGGAACACTCAGGTCCCGAAGTACTTCTCTCTTCTTCAATACCATCGGGCAATGGGTCAGGATGCTTTGTCTCAAATCTGGGATTTCGATCTGGGATATGTGTTTCCTCCCTTACCGATAATTCTTCGCTTACTAAAGAAAATTTGGATGGAGAATCAAGTGATAATAGCTATCATCCAGTTCTGGCCACGGAGGCCCTGGTTCCCTCTCCTGTGCAAAATGTCCTTGGAGGAACACTGGCGGCTTCCAAGCAGGAACGATCTGCTAAGTCAGGGTCCTGTCTACCATCCCAACTCTGTACAACTGAGATTGGGGGCCTGGCTTTTGAAAGGGAACGGCTCCTGCAAACAGGATTGTCTGAGGCAGTAACTAATATGCTTCTTCTGTCTAGGAAGAAATCTACGTCTAAGTGTTATGACTGGATATGGGAGTCATTTAAGTCCTGGACTCTTAACAAAGGTCTAGACTTCTTGAACCCTGATCAGAACCAGATTTTGGAGTTCTTACAGGCTGGATTGGATAAGGTTTTAAGCCTGAGTACCTTGAAGGTGCAGTGTTCTGCACTATCGGCCCTCTGTGACTACTTTTGGGCTTCAAATCCCCTGATTGCCAGGTTCTTTAAGGCTACCATTCGCATTAGACCTCCTCTGCGCAACTATTCTGCTCCATGAGATCTTCCTCTGGTCTTGAATGCCTTGTCCGAATTTCCTTTTTCTCCTCTAGAGAACTTGGATTTCTCTTCTCTCACGTACAAAACTCTGTTTTTGTTGGCCGTTACTTCAGCCAGAAGAATCTCGGAGGTGAGAGCTCTCTCCTGTGCAGAGGAATATATTAGGGTTTTCCACGACAGAGTGGTTTTACATCCGAATATGGAATTCCTTCCCAAAGTTGTCTCAAAATTTCACTTACACCAGGAGATCGTTCTGCCTTCTTTTTTTCCTGAACCTTCCTCGGATCGGGAGGTAAAACTTCATAATCTGGATATTAGGGAATACTTGATCAGGTATTTGTCTGTTTCTGGTACATTTCGTAAGACAGATCAATTGTTCATTATTCCTGAAGGCTCCAGGAAAGGTGAAGCTGCTTCCACTTCTACACTACGTAGATGGATTTCCAACATCATCACTAAAGCTTACACTCTGAAAGGTGTTTCTCCTCCGAAACGGATTAAGTCTCATTCAACTAGGTCTTTGGCTACTTCATGGGCTGATTGGGCAGAGGTGTCTCCTGATGACATCTGCAAGGCAGCAACATGGTCTTCTCCTATGACCTTCATTAAACATTATAGGCTGGATGTTGCCTCTTCTTCTACTAAGTTTGAAAGAAGCGTGTTGGCTTCCGTTAGTACGGCATAATAAAATTATGTGTTATAGCAGTTATTGAGTGTGGATTATTTTTCCCACCCCTTCTAGCTTGTATGCTTGGGTATTACCCATAAGTGATGCTGCCATGCTTAGCCAGGAATACCGAAATTTTATTTCATACTTACCAGTAAATTTATTTTCCTGGCTATTTCTCATGGCAGCACCAGGTTCCCGCCCTGGGTTTTGTCTGAGCTTTTCAATTGGACTGAGGTATGGAGAGAGGAGGAACCTTTTATGCCTACAGCCTAGTTAACTGTTTAATTGTTTTCTGTCCTGATCCGGCTGAGGGTGGAGCTAACCCCCATAAGTGATGCTGCCATGAGAAATGGCCAGGAAAAGAAATTTACTGGTAAGTATGAAATAAAATTTCGGTATTTTTAGTTCTTTACAACCTATAAAGTGTTTTGAAACTTACTGTGCGTAATAATTTGAAACAGTGCATAGGTTTGTTCAATAAAATTTGAATTGAATAGTTGATAACATGACAATTATGCTGACTGTTATTTACATAAATTATTTAGGTAAATGAGAAAAATATAATTTGCATAATAATTTGGAACAGGGTGTAGTATAATGAAGGTATTTTACTTCCATATGTTCCTAGCTGCCAAGTGGAAATTACTTCTTCAAATTATGAATCACAGTGATTACCCAAATGCCTTTGAACAAATGTTACAAAATTGGTTGGACCAACTGAATCCTTACTGCATTTGGCTTTAGTAAGTCTTTGAGTTGCCAGTGCAGTCAGAGTTCGGTCATTCAGACAAATTGTGGTGTTTAGTGAACAGCCCTCTAAATGCCCAGGGAAATCTTTAGCTCAAAAAGTTGAAATTTTTAACATAAAGCTATAGGAGACACAGACAATCTTCTGTAATTTAATAGTTTCTTTTGCTTTAAGTGGGTTAATAAATTACTTTTTGTTAACCCCTTAAGGACGGTGGGCGTTCTATGCAGTCCTTTCTAGGGTGGCTCTAAACGTCAGCAGGCGGTCTAGAACATCCCCACCATTCTCAGTATTTACCCGATCGCTGCCGCTCCCCCGCCGGCGATCGGCGTCGCTCCCGGTCTGGGGGGACTGCCTGACAACACAGACAGTTCCCCCTCGACAAATTAGGCCTCTGCAGGCCATGTGATCACTCTGCAAGTGCCTGCAGGGGCAGTCTCCCTGCTTCTGTAAAATAAAATAAAAATATATTAGTAAATAAAAAATATATGTATATATATGAGATATATATATACACATATATTGTATCAATATATAATATGTATATATATCTTATATATATAATTTCATACTAAGTGTATTTTATTTTAATATAAAATACACTTAGAATTAAATTACACACGTATATATATTATATATATAATACACTTGGAATTAAATTACACACGTGTATATATATTATATATATATAATAACTATATACACTGCTCAAAAAAATGGAACACTTAAACAACACAATGTAACTCCAAGTCAATCACACTTCTGTGAAATCAAACTGTCCACTTAGGAAGCAACACTGAGTGACAATCAATTTCACATGCTGTTGTGCAAATGGAATAGACAACAGGTAGACATTATAGGCAATTAGCAAGACACCCCCAATAAAGGGGTGGTTCTGCAGGTGGTGACCACAGACTACTTCTCAGTTCCTATGCTTCCTGGCTGATGTTTTGGTCACTTTTGAATGCTGGCGGTGCTATCACTCTAGTGGTAGCATGAGATGGAGTCTACAACCCACACAAGTGGCTCAAGTAGTGCAGCTCATCCAGGATGGCACATCAATGCGAGCTGTGGCAAGAAGGTTTGCGTAGTGTCCAGAGCATGGAGGCGCTACCAGGAGACAGGCCAGTACATCAGGAGACATGGAGGAGGCCGTAGGAGGGCAACAACCCAGCAGCAGGACCGCTACCTCCGCCTTTGTGCAAAGAGGAACAGGAGGAGCACTGCCAGAGCCCTGCAAAATGACGTCCAGCAAGCCACAAATGTGTCAGAAACAGACTCCATGAGGGTGGTATGAGGGCCCGATGCCCACAGGTGGCGGTTGTGCTTACAGCCCAACACCGTGCAGGACGTTGCACCAAGATTGGCAAATTCGCCACTGGCGCCCCGTGCTCTTCACAGATGAAAGCAGGTTCACACTGAGCACATGTGACTGACGTGACAGAGTCTGGAGACGCCGTGGAGAACATTCTGCTGCCTGCAACATCCTCCAGAATGACCAGTTTGGCAGTGGGTCAGTAATGGGTTGGGGTGGCATTTCTTTGGGGGGCCGCACAGCCCTCCATGTGCTCGCCAGAGGTAGCCTGACTGCCATTAGGTGCTGAGATGAGATCCTCAGACCCCTTGTGAGACCATATGCTGGTGCGGTTGGCCCTGGGTTCCTCCTAATGCAAGACAATGCTAGACCTCATGTGGCTGGAGTGTGTCAGCAGTTCCTGCAAGACGAAGGCATAGATGCTATGGACTGGCCCACCCGTTCCACAGACCTGAATCCAATTGAGCACTTCTGGGACATCATGTCTCACTCCATCCACCAACGTCACGTTGCACCACAGACTGTCCAAGAGTTGGCAGATGCTTTAGTCCAGGTCTGGGAGGAGATCCCTCAGGAGACAATCCGCCACCTCATCAGGAGTATGCACAGGCATTGTAGGGAGGTCATACAGGCACGTGGAGGCCACATACACTACTGAGCCTCATTTTGACTTGTTTTAAGGACATTAAATCAAAGTTGGATCAGCCTGTAGTGTGTTTTTCCACTTTAATTTTGAGTGTGACTCCTAATCCAGACCTCCATGGGTTGAAAAATTTGATTTCCATTTATAAATTTTTGTGTGATTTTGTTATCAGCACATTCAACTATGTAAAGACCAAAGTATTTCAGAAGAATATTTAATTCATTCAGATCTAGGATGTGTTATTTTTGTGTTCCCTTTATTTTTTGTGTGTATATATATATATATATATATGTCATTTTATTTTAACTGTATTTTGAATCATTTCACTCGGCCAAATACAGCCGTCTGACAGCTTGGTTGTTGACACGGTCGCCTAGTAACAGCGGTATGTATGTGTGGGGGGTGCAATAAATATTCTTGAAAAATTGAAAAAAATGTAGGGTGTTTTTTTTTAAATTTTTTAAGGGGGGAGGAGGGGTAGAGAGGGGTAAGGAGTGCGAGTGCCAAACACAGGGTCCGCCCCGGGTGCCAAATGCTCTAGGTACGCCCCTGAATCTGAAATCTCTCCATAATATTTTATGTTGTGAATGGTAATCCAGTTGCTCAATGCCTTCTGAGAAAAAGGAAGCTGAAATTGTTGTGTCCGTAGATTACCTGCAGCTTCACTTTAAATGGACTACTGGCTTGTTAGACCCACTTTTATTCAACTGTATAATAAACTGTAAGGCAGCTATGGTAATGGTATACAGGTTTCCAATGTTTTCAAATGAATTAAACACTCAGCTCAGGAGAGTTAATGGAAGCTCCTGCTCTTCATGGTAGGTAGTAGATGCAGAGAGTGCCAATAACCGGACACCAGGTAAGACATCAAACTATATAACACGATTTGATTACTTACAATGGGGGGGTGGAGCACTTGGTGCTTTGAGTGCTCCATTAAAAATGTGACTAAGAAAAATTCAAGATTGTCTGATGAATAAAATGGTTGAATTGTCAAAATATTCTCCTTTTTTTCCTGTGCACATTTCTTATTGTATCCAGACTGCATCCTAAGCATTCCTAAACTGTTAATAGAAAAACAAACAGACATAGGGCATTATTGTCGGTGCCAGTGCCACAAAATGTGAGGAGTACTTGTAAGGTAGGCTTGTCACTCAGAGAGTACTGTAGTGATGTTGTCTTGATTCTTTTCCAAGCATACAGGAATTATGTAAATCAAATTTGTAGATACTTTGTAGTGTCGTATAAGGATGAATAATATTACTCTGATCACTGTATACATATTTTTACCCTCATTTGGGGTGTTTATCCATAAACTGTAAATAGTATTATGTATCACCATATGTTTATATATCTACCAGCAGGCCTTGATTTTTCATAAGGTTACCAAGGCCTTGGAGAAGCAGGTGACAGTGGCAGCATCTTTAGCAGGATGTAACACCCAGATGATGCAAACCAAACCAGAACTCCCTTGCAGTACTGGCACCGAATGTTTGAGTCAGAACACTGTCACTTGGTTACCATAGCATAGCCCTGGCTTATTAATGAAACAAAAAGAACCACATGCTCCAACTGAACCACCTGGGAACTTTCAGCACAGTCCCTGGGACCACAAGAAATTATATCCCCCACTAGACCACCAGGGATCCTTTGACAGCATTGACTAGATGACCAGGGATCATACTTATTTCCCTGTGTAAAGGGTGTTTTTGTTTTTTGTTTTACAGACTTGTTAAATCTCAGAGATGAGCCAAAACGTTGTCTCGACTTTTTTGTTCCTCATAAAAGACTGCCCTTAAGAAGAAATCTCAGATGTGCCTGGATATTTACATATTTCCCCCCAAATAAAGTAATCACACTCAAGTTACCCACAGATACTTAACCACAGCCCAATTTTAGCCGGATCAACACAGGCATCACATTCAGTCAATCACACATCCCACTAACCCCCCAACCCCACTTACAGACAACCAGACACACAACACATACCATGGGCCTGTGCAATGCTTTTTTTACACATACATCATAACGTTAACAGTAGTAAGTGATCCCAACCATTACATTCTTAACGAGAGGTCGTAACCCCTTTCTACTGTATTTCATTTTTTTATTACAGCTCTGTGACATCTCAGTTAGCTATAATGCTATTTTTATGTAGGAAGAGCATGCATTCGTTAAACAACCATTCTATAATAATTTGTAAAATATTCCAAAAACCCTGGCACTCTTGTTTTTATCAGTGTCCGATTACTGTGATTCCTGCTCTGTGTTTACATAACCCTGACTAGAACAGATAGATAGAAATGTTGCAGAGAAGAAAACTATTTAAAGGGACTCTCAAAGTACTACATATATATATATATATATAAAATGATAATGTCTGTATTTTCATAATACCACATGCTGCTAATTTGACATTGCTGCTGATATTAACTAGGAGATGAGTAGGTAAATTCATGTTTAAATGAATTAAACTATTTGTAACTATTGGGCAGCATTTTATGGGACATGCACAATCATCCCCCTGAAAGTAATGATTAGACCTGGATTAGCTAAGAAATTTCATCCCTAGTCCAGTAACGATTCTGCATTAAATAATAGAAAATCACAGGAGAGCACCTCATCTATTTAGCTTTGTTTCTTAATTTTTGTGTGTGTGTGTGTGTGAATTTCTGCATTACAGTATGATTTAACTCGATAATACATTATGAAGGAGGTCAAAAGATCTAGAGATCAAACTAGATGCAAATGAAAGAACAGATATACTGACTAATACAACCCATAACTACGTGGCAACGTGCATGAGAAGCAAATAAAACACCTTTAAAACAGCCAGATCGTACACAGGGCCGGCCTTTGGTCATTAGGTGCCCTGTGCAAAAAGTCTTTGTGCACCCCCCCTCCACACCCCAAGTATATAATCACACACAGGCACAGGCAGACAGTCACACACTCCGTTACAAGCAGACAGTCAGACACACTCAGTTAAACGCAGACAGTACAAAGGCACAGCTACAGCGAGACACAGGCAGAAAGTCACACACATGTAGGCAGACAGTCACTCACACACACACATACACAGGCAGACAGTCACATGCACAGACAGTCACACACACACACACACAGAGGCAGACAGTCACACACACAGGCAGGCAGTCACACAGACAAGCAGGCAGTCACACAGACAGACAGTCACACACACACACACACACACAGGCAAGCAGTCTCACACACACACACACACACACACACAAACACACCTACCTCTTTCCATTATGGCTGGAAAGGAGAGTAGGGGGCAGTTGATTGTTGGGGAAGCAGGGACTCCTTCCTTCTTCCCTTTTCCTGTGCAGTAGTTACCAGGGGCTTCTGGTAGGTATTAGCCCCACCACTGCCTCAAGATAAGTTCCCCCCCTACCGCCCTCGCTGCCTCTATATTTTTTTTTCAGAGACCCGGGTGGAGAATAATGAATAATGGAGAATAACCCGGGTGGAGCTTTAGCTCCCCTGCACTCCTGTCACCAAGCCATGTGCGAGCTGTTTTGGCCACATGGCCCCCTCTGGTCTGTGCAGCCACATAGCTCGCACAAACCCATGCCCTGAACGTACATGCCCCTGAACAGTCTGCATCACATCTCTCATTCTGCATCTCCCCTCCCCCACCCCCCCCCCACACCACTGTGTTTTTGTGGTTGTGGACTCAAAGATGCCTATCTTCATATTTGTTGGGAATGTACATATCTTCAACCTCTCTGAGGTGCAGTTTTCCAAACAAATTTTAGGGTGTTTGAAAACAAACCTGTAAGCAGTAACCTCTCAACAGAGTGAGCCGGGAACCTTGATTTTCAAGCTCAGCTAATAGGCCTTTTAGGGTGTGTACATCGGCATGTTTTAGCTAAGAACTAGTGCTGTCAAGAAATTGGCTCTCCGTATATATATATATATATATATATATATACCAAAGTAGAAACTAAGGCAAAGTTCATTCTCTCCATTGAGAAACTTACTTACTTATATTATAAACACCTATGAAAATCCTTTGAAAATTTGGACTACATAAACGTTACATTCCTCCCTTCTCTAAACCATTCCTTTCTTATGTTAGGATTCCATATCCCTCCTATCCCTCCAGGCTCCTGTCACATGGAAGATAATGTTCCTCCCCTTTCTCGTGCCTCCATTTCTCTTCATTTTGTTCTTTTTCTGTTCAATAGACAAAAGGATGCACACCAAATATTATTGCTAAATCCAAGTAATCTTTATTACCGAAAGAGAAAGCACCCGGAGTGGTGCGAA